TTCTCAGTAATCCATCAGCATGCTCAAGGTTGATTATTCATTAAAAAATATTTATTATTTATACATATAAGAACTGGGACACAGGCAAGAGGTGTGGGGATTGAGAGGATTCACCAGATACAAAGCCAGAGAAGACTCACCCCATTTGGGCATGCAGAACAGGTAGATTTACTGAAACACACTGCTGAGAGGAACAGTGGGCAAAACTGGAGAGGTCTGCTGCACCATGTGGATCAGTTTCCTGGCCTGGGATAGAACTTGTGCTGCAGTGGCTGGGGATAGCTTCACAGTGCTGCATTTTCACCTCTTGTGCCACCAGGAAAGTCTTCAAGATTGATCATTTTGAAAGGAGACCATTTTCAGGAGCCCTGCTTTTAATGACAAAGGAAATCCTTTAAAAATCTACATTGCTATGTATTTGGCTAGACTGTTGTTGGTCATTTATAATTTCCAGTATTTTTCTTTGAAAACATTGCTCTGGGGAATAGCATTGTTCATTCATCTACATCACTTGGCTTCTATAGTCGAATTAGTGAAAGCTAAAATAAAATCAAAGAAAAAAATGGAGATAACATTTCTTACAAATGATTTGGGAATATTATGCTTACTTTTTACTTTTCATGTATGAAAATATTTTTATTCTTTTGAAATATTTAGACTTAAAAATGACATACAGGGCTCTCCTTGGTGACTTAGTGGGTTAAAGGGTAGCACTATGAAGCTGTCCACAGTCACTGCATCATGAGTTTGATTCCTTGTGATGATGCCAGGGGGGTGACCCACATGGTGCAGCAGACCTCTCCTGTCTCACCTGCTGCTCCCCTCAGTGCCGTGGACCAGCGCAGCAGGAGTAGGAGACAAGTTTCAGGGATTGCAATTCTGGCGCAGGGTGAACAAGGATGAGGATGAGTGACGGACAGACACAACTTCTAGGAGTGTATATCTGAATGTGTTTTATTTTTAAGAGTGCAGAGCATTTATACAATTTTTCTTGGCAAGCAAATATAGGGATACAATGATTCTTTTAATAGAAGCATGACAGGTAGTACATTAATTTGTTTTTGTTTCTGAGATGTTGCCAGGGGCCCGAAACCAACTTGGGGCCCTAGGAAACCACTGTGTATTCAAGGTTCAGTGCTGCTAAACAAATGCCCTGTCACCTATGCCTTTCTAATCCTTTTAATTACTCTCTCCATTCATTTCACAAGCCACCTGGTATACAGGAGTTAATTGTATAATAGAATTAAAGATTGTAAAGGAGTTTCTCAGAAGTAAATCAGTATCGAGATAGAGGAAGTTACATTCTTATCAAGAGTATCATTAGAAACGAAGCGCAGTATCCATATCATTTCTTTAGTTCAGTGCCTTGTGTGTCAACAGAATCAGAAAACAAATTAAAAGTGACCATTCGAGAATCAGCCATTCTTCTATTCCTGGAGGGCCACGATTTCCTCCCGTGTGCCCGGTACCTTGACCGTGCCAACCTCTAAGGATTTCTCACTTAGGTGCCGTAGGAGGGGATGTGGCACCTCAGCAGTATATTTCAGCAGATCTGCTTATTCGACTCTCACTCTGACTTTGGTAAATCCTCTCACACCCCACACCTCTGGCCTGTATCCCAGTTCTTGTATGCATAAATAAATAAATCTTTAAAAAAATGATATGAACTTACTTTCAAATGGTTAAAACTATTTATGCATGTAGATGAATATGGAGCTATATGCATATAGAAACAAAGAATATTAAAGCAAATGGAGCAATATACTAAGAACAGGTGAATCTAGATACAGGAATTATTGGTGTTCTATACTCTATTCTTTCTTTTTTTTTTTTACTGTAATGTTGGTTTGCAATGTTGTTTGTGCTGAGAAGTAGATGATCTCCTCTTGTAGATGTTACCATACAACACCCATCACCGAAGCGTCCATAGTGTACATTCTGTTGTGCTCACTCCCACACTGTTGTGGCCTCTTCCTCTTCCCCTCAAGGAGCATCTGTTCACGAATTGTTTCCTCATTTTTAAACTTCATTTCTCTTTTTCTTGTATCTTGTCTTGAAAATTTTTATCATCAAATTCACTCATGTGATCTTCTGTTTGCACTTGTATACTTTATATAAATATTTTCCACCTAATCATTTTTCACTAACTCCTTTATTTCTTTCTTTGAAGTATCTTTTCAACCTTCTGTTCATTGATTTTGCTCCTCAGAACATCCTTTTGTTTTTCAAAAATTTCCTTTATATCATCAATCTGTCTGAATCTTCTCCGAGGTCTAAAGATTTCTTTATAATGGCAAGGTTGAATAATGTGTCTGGTAGAGATAGATCTTCCATTTCTTTGTGACTGTGTTCTGAGATTTGTTCTCTTTCTGTGCTTATATTCCCATTTGGACTCCTGTGGTCACTTGTTCTTTTGTTCAGACATCACATTGCTTTCAGTTGTGGTTTGGCGTCTGCTATGTGTGTCTCCAACTATCCCGCACTGGATTAGGTTACCTACTAGAGAAAGCTGGGGGTTGCTGCTTCTGTGGGGGGGGTGCATTTATCATGGGCTGGGGCCTGAGATACTGGTGTGGGGGCCTAGGGATGGGGACATGTTCTGGAGTATCACTGAAGGTTGTTGTTATTTGATAGGGCTCTGCGTGGCCTGGTCTTGGGTATATGCAAGTTTCCAAGGTGCCAGTGGGTGGTCCTGTGGATCTTATCAATGGGTGGCTGTGTTCAGCTGTAGTGGTGCATGGCTCAGCCTTGGGAGTGAACCATTTTCCAGGTAGTGGCATACAGGGCTCAGGTTGGTTGAAATTCACATTGGGCAGCTGAGTGTCTTTGATGACAAGCCTTTGATGACAGGCAGGACCCTGTGTCGTCCCACTTAGGGAGTGTGCTGGTTCCCTAGGTGATAGCATGTGGGCCAATGGTGAGACACTTCTTCAATGGAGGCTGATTGTCGCTACTGTCAGGGCCTTGTGCAGCCTGCACTGGGGAGTGGGCCAGTTCCTGAGGCTATTACAGGTCCTTCACCTCCTTTGTTCACTCCAAGGTAATTTTTATGATGTAACTGTAAATAGTATTGTTTTCTTGATATCTTTCTTGTCCAACTCATTGTATAAAGAAAAACAACTGATTTTTGTGTATTGTTTTTATAACCTGCCATACCACTGATTTATTCTTTTAATTAATTTCCTAGTGGAATCATTGAGGATTCTCTAAGTATATTATTAGGTCATCTGAAAATAATGATCTTTTTATTTCTTCTTTTCCAATTTGAACACATTTTATATCCCTCTAATGTTTAATTATTCTAGTTAAGACTTCCCATACTGTGTTGAACAGTAGCGGTAAAAATGAACATCTTTGTCTTGTACTAGATCTTAATGGAAAACCTTTCAGTGTTTTACCATGGAGAATGATGTAGCTGTGAGTTTGTTACATGTGTGGAGGTATATTCCACCTAGCTTCAGTTTTTTGAGGGTTTTCATCATAGAGGGATTTTGGATCTTTTCAAATGTTTTCTCAGCATCTATCGATCATATGATTTTTATCTTTCATTTTATTAATGTGGTTAATTATATTAATTGCTTTTCTGACTTTGTATAATCCTTGTATGCTGGAATAAATCCCACTTGGTTATAGTCCTGTATATAGAGGGAGATATTTAATTCAACTTGCTTAGATGTTTAGATTTAGTTGAGGATTTTTATATCTGTGTTTGCTATGGTAATTGATCTATGGCTTTTCTTTTTCGCCTGTTGTGTTATGCTTGTCATACCTGAAGGAGGTGCCCCCCCCAACAATTTACTCTAACTTTATTCTGCAAGTTCCTTAAGAATGTCCCTCCACTAAACCCTGCTCCCATGGTGGCTATGATTTATTCTAATTGTGTGAGTAAGACATCTCAACACAGATGTGATTATCTGGAGAGTCTTTTGTTAGGAAATTACTAGTCCTGGGGTAGACCATGTGTCAAAGTCTCAGAAATACAGAAAATGAAAGACATAGTTATTATACCCATGCGCAGTCATTAAAGGTCATCTAAGTTCATTTCCACATTAAACTTTAATATGCTTTCTATCTTTTCTCCAAAGCCATTTAACTTTGGCTGCTTTCAACACCCGTTCTACTGAATTTGGCGTGTACTCCAGCTAGAGTCAGAGAACTCTCCCAGAATTGAAATCAGATCAGACTGTCCCTGGTGAAACCTGCCCCAGGTCCCCACTTCTCTGGTGCCCACGCACCAATTCGCCCATGACTGATACAAGGTTGGGTTTCATATATCCCTGTCTTCACACTGTCCCCTTTCCCACTCTTCATACAACATTTCTCTCTTTCTCTCTGTTTTTTCAATTTCCCTCCCTTCCAAATGCTCACTCCTCCTTTATACTTTCTTCCTCTCTCCCACCTTCTCCCTTTCTTTCTCACTATTATTCAAATCAACCTTTCTAATTCTAAGCTTTTGCATTGATTCTTTCTGACCATCTTCCCACATTCACCCCAAATTCCCTTTTTCTGGACCATTTCTTTTTTTCAAATTTCGGCCTAAAATTTCTTCTCAGCATTGCAGCACCTTTTATATGGCAGATTTTTCCACTTGCAAACTATCTATCTCATTGCCATATTAAAATATATTTACCACCACCTACAATTATGAGGCAAATATGTTCACTTCTGTTCTCATCATGTGCAATGAATGGGTATCTTCTGGTTACTGGTGTTTTTATCCCAGCACCTTGTACAAGTCATATTTTCTATAATATGTTGAATAATGAAAAACGTAAAACAGGTAAGAAACATATGAAGTGGTTGAGCTTCACAGATAATAGAGAGATGGAAACCATTTTTAAAATGGTAATTTTTTATTCTATATCCTTATCAAGTATGCAAGTGTCAATAGTTACAAGTTCAGTGAAAATGATTTGGAATTGGTTTTAAAAAACTTTAAATATGATGGTGAAACTTCTGTATATGAATTTTACAGTGGCATTTATTTTATTTATTTAAAGTTCACCTAGGTTCTCAACAGCAGAGTGTCACAAGGTCAATGATTTGACATTCTTAAAAGAGCTACAGGACCTTGCTGAGGATGTGTATGAACTGATGGACAAAGCAGAAAACTTACAAAACCTTTGGGTACAAAGATCTGAAACTCCAGGCAAGTAAATATCTGCAAATTTTAACTGCTTCCTAGGACATAGGTTCAGGTGGGACTCCATGAGGTTGTAAGAGTCAGAATGTTCTTAAATCCTAGTTACATTTTATTGCAATAGGCTATTATGTGTGTTTTAGAGAAAGGAATATTCTCCAAGGTAGAGGCCCAACAATTGGTGATAGGTATGGCAGGTGGAACTGAATTTCCACTTGGGAACTTTCTTACTGGGAAAACTCCATAGGCATTTCTTGGTTCCCAGAGGCCCTGTGGGTAAATCTTCTCTTTGTCTTCATAGGGATTTCTCTATATGCTTTCTTCCTTCAAATTCTAGCTTCCTTTCTCTTGTTCTCTTTCTCTATTTTTAAAGTCAAGCCCCAACTTTACACACACACACACACACACACACTCATACATATCTCTCTTCTTGTCCTATCAGATAATTATTCTTATCTTCTTTATTTATCCTCTAAGTTTAACAATCTTGTTTTTTTACATTCCATGGGGAAAAAGCATCTAAGGAGATAGCATTGGAGTTGATTTGATGGCTACTAGGTCAGCAAAGAAAGCTGGTGCAAATCTGAATTGCCAGAGGACTGCATCACAAGAATTAACATGCTAACCCTTGTCCATGCTCCCCCTTCTACTCCTTTATAACTCTGGAGAACTACCCTGCTCAGTATGATGGTCTTTCAGACTTGAGTCTGTTGCCCTACTCAGTTTATTGAACTACTTTCCTTCTCCTCAAGCTGTTTCCTTTTCTTAGCTAAGGAATGTCAAGCATTAGGTAACATACACACACCCACACAATTTCTTTCTCTTCCTTTTAGTCTTGTATTGGTCTTTCTATGTTATTACTCCTTTATTTCTTGTCTTTGATGATTAGCTTCCCTTGATAATAAAGCTTTGGTTTATTGATGTGGATTATTTCTGTTCATTATGAAGCATGTCCAACTTCTAAGAGGCTTCAAACTCTATTTTTAAATGTATGATAGAGAAAGTTAGAACAGATGTAGGTCTTAGAGAGCTTGGTTAATATGTATATGTATAGTATATGTATATTTATATATACATGCATACTCTGTGGAATATGTACAAGACAGTGGAATAAAGACTTTGGCAGAAAAATATTGAAAGAGTTCTGCAAAAGGTGATCTTATAGATCATTGCTGAGAGAAAAGATAGCACCAGGGAAGTCGGAGACAAGCAGATTTCACTATGGACTCTAGGTGCCTAAAGAAAAGACCAGAATAGATTTCCAGTCATGGATTTCTCATATTAGGCACTATTATAAGATCATTCGTTTATGTGGTTGGTTTTCCAAATGAGGATTTAAACTTTCCACCAAAGGGAGAACTACTATTTTTTAGATGAAGTCTCCACTTGATCTTCAATTTGCAGCAATTTGAGTCATTTACCATGAAGTTTAAATTAAAGAAATAGATTCCTTTACACACATTTCTGACAGCATATATGTGGGTTTTCTATATCAAGCCATCATCTAATTCTCTGTGCACACCAGTTGTATCCTACTATTTAATCAAATTATGACACTACCTGGAGTTCAGACCCCGTAGGTTAAGGGCTCAATTCAATGAGTATCCCCACTCCAGACCAAGTATTGAGTTCCTACGGCACTTAAAAGCTTTGTCTAATTGAGATATAAATTGGTTATTCAATGACTTCTGTTCAAGTGCCACAATTTTCTGGAAATGCTCTGGAATCATTTTAATTACTAGTTTATTATTTTTTTATGTATGTACAGTTATTTTATTTTTAAAGTTATGACTTATTATAAAAATGAGTAGCTAGTAAAGTTAATATTTTCAGTATTTAAAATGATCACATGGATTTTTATACAAGTTTGATCCATATTTTATCACTTTATTATTTATTTATTTTTAATTTTTACATCATTCTTAATTTTGTGCATTTTTCATCTCAGTTGTAATCTCTGTGGGCTTCCCACCACCAATTCACCTGTGTGCCATCACCATAGCCCAGTGTACTCTTCCCACCCCAGTTCTGATAGCATCCCCCTTTTTATCCCCATAAAATGTCTCTGGTTTATAGTTGTTCACTGTTTTCATTTCTAATCTACTACATACATTTGTTGTTGTTTTTTTTTCCCCAATCCTTCATGCTCCTGGTATATAAAGAATATAATTTAGAATACAGGTGAGGGTGTATACATAGTAAGTGTGGAAGTTTCAAATATGGGAGATTTTGTTTCCATGGAGTTGGGTGTGCTAACAGCATGTGGATGTGTTTGTTCATCATAAGTTCTTTGAACCTTGCTTAGGAACTATATGGAGTTTCCATTAGGGAGGCATGATTGTTCAAATGACTGACCACAGGTAATTAACTTAATCTCCAGGGTTCATTTCCTTGTAGTTCAGGGTTGGGGGAGTCAAGGTGAAAGTGCCAATCATCTAATCTTGCCTTGGACTTTCAAAGGAACAGCCTCCACAGTGACGCATCTAGGGACTCAGCCACCAGTTACTTATTAGCATACAACATACATAGTTATCATCCCAGAGATTCCATGATCTGTCTGGAACTGGGAACTAAAACCAAATGGGACAACAAAAAGATTTCTACAGTACCTCCATCTTTCAGGAAACTGTAAAGACTTTAGGAACTCTGTATCAGGAATCAGGGGACAGAGGCCAGTGTATGTTTTTCATTATATCATGATATCATGATGTTATTTCAGATATAATCTAGAAAATCATAATTTTAATTTTCTTTCCCTCTTTAGCTATTTTCTTTGTTTATTTGTTATGTTTTTCTCCATTTTCCCTCCACTCTCCCTACCCTCTCCTAAAAGCTCACAATGCCCATGGAATTAGAATTTGATAAAATGATACTTTTAACAAATTATTGCAATTTGATTTACCAGCTAAATCATTTACTAGGAGTTTATTTACTATTAATATGTTTTAGAAATGAAAAGTTACTGTTTCCTTAAGACTTATTCTCGGTTCAGGATTCTGACCCACAGAATTGATGGTCTATTTGGCCTTTGAACAAGGTAAACATTCAGTAATATATTTTCTATTGTTACTTGAACTAATACATCTGAAATGTTCTTTATTATAGATTCTTCTTATGGTTCCAGCTTTTTAACAGTAAGTATCTTAACAAAAGATTGAACCTTACTCATCGGAGACATAGCAGTTAAGTTCAAAACATTAGTTTTAAATGTTATTTGATTTATGAGCACTTGTTTTTTAGTATTTTATTTTTAGTAACTCCACAAAAATGTATTTGGGGGCAGACAGTATCATTCAAAGATGGATTGAAATATAAGTTTTAATTTTTGTTGGAAAGCCTCTGGATCTAAGGAAACAGAAGGTGAGCTCTGACGTCCAAAATAGGCTTAATGTCCATCCAGTTCCAAGTTAAGCCTAGGATGTAAATGCTTGGTACATTTAGGTTGTTTTGCCCTCTATTTAATATTTAACAACGTCTGCACACACTTTTGGTTTTCATAACTAGGCACAAGCACCCATGACATTAAAATGAACCAAGTTGCTTAGCCTGAATTTAGTCTGTATTTTTCTACAGTTGTATTGAGCTAGAAGAGTGAGGGTATGGATTGTTGAAATTGGCTGTGTTGGAGATTTCATCAGGTAATATATAAGAATGTGTTAGAGAGGAGAGTGTGTTGAGTGAACAATTCAGGGAAACAATTCATAATCAAGGACAGGAAGTGAAGGTGGCAGTGAAGACAGAGGGTTGTTGGTTATTTACCTTGTAGTTGAGTTAGGAATTTGTAACTGAAGAGCAGTGTGAATGAATTTCAGGAATTGTTAATAAAAAAGTAAAAATTTTGACCACAGGAATGGGTGATGTTTTCAGATAGCAGAAAACATCAAAATGACTCAAGTAACAGAGGAGATTGGAAGGAACACATAGGAGATGTTAAATCTCTACATGAAAGGAGTTATATTGGAGAGTGATAGTTAAGTCAGAAGCCCAAATCCTACAGAAATAAATTAGGGAGTGGACCCAGAGATTCTGGGACTCCTCTATTTCTGCTGAGGGAGGTTGAAAGCCAGCAACCTGAGTCTTCTATGTTGCAACTATTGCTGTGGAGAACATATTGAGTTCTTTCATGAGTAATGTATAACTTCTCTGAACTGTGCAAAATCTCAGTTTTATTGAAGGAATGGGAACTAAGTTGAGGGAAGTGAGCCAACATGGCAGGACTTACAGCACAGAATAGGGCAGTAATTGAGATGGTCTAGAGTTTCTGGGTTGTCATTTCACCAAAAGATACCATGTGTTTTTTCTTTTAAAGATTTATTTATTTATTCATACAAGAACTGTGGTACAAGCCAGAGGTGCAGGGGTAAGAGACAGAGTGGGGAAAAGAACAGGTGAATTGTCTGAGACATACTTCTGAGGGGAACAGCAGGCTAGAAAGGTCTGCCACACCATGTGGGTCAGCTCCCTGGCTGGGGATGGAACTTGCGCTGCAGTGGTTGCAGATAGCTTCATAATGCTGCGCATTAATCCCTTGTGCCAACAGGGATGGCCGGAGAGAGCATTTTTAAAAAAAGATTTATTTATTTATGCATACAGAACTGGGGTACAAGCCAGAGGTGCAGGGGCAGTGAGAGGGGTCCTAGGGAGGGCTGAGAGCATGTTTTATCTATTTTTCCACTTTCCCATTCCTAGAGCATGGAACACCACATACAAGGTGCTAATGTGTGTCTCTGATCAAGCTATCCTTCCTTAGTTACATTGTGTTTTTCCCATATGAGCTTCTCCCTCTCCCCATTCCTTTTAGTAGGTCCCGGCATTCAGCCCTTTGCTTACAGAGCTGTTTTTTAAAGCTGTACTTTATACTTTAATGAAATGACTTTATCAACATTTTCCCTATACCTTTGCCTGGGGAAAAACACTTCTGTCTTCCACCTATTGTAATGAATGTCTTTATGTCTTTCCAGTGGGTCTCATTTTTTTTTTTTTATCTACTACTCAAGAAAAAGAAATCTGATCTTTGTTTTCTAATTTCATGACTGTTATTAAAATATTCTTCTAGCTGAAATTATTTGTTTGCTTCATACCACACTGAGAAACTAGTGATTATGCTATAAAACCAGCTTTTTGGGTGTAATGGTGGTGGGAAAATGGGGTTAGGGGTTTCTTTGTGGAGGAAATATAGTAGTCAGTTATTGTCTGTGTGCTATTTTTGATTGGGTTCATTTGTAATAATAGAAAGCCTCTAACAGCAGACGGTATTACATTTTTTGTTCATATCTTAACAAAAACTCACTATAAGATGTGGTTCAAAGTCTTAGAAGTTGGAATAGCTTGTTTTAAGGTCATGCCTTCTCAACCTATCCTTTCCTGTCCAAAATCTCAAAATAATTAACAAAAAGCAATTTAATGGTGTAATTTAAAAAATTGTCTATTCCAAATTACATATTAGGTGTCTCTGTCACCAGGGATTCAATGCCTTATACCTTTGTAGAAGGCCTTCCCCAACTCCCTCATTAAATTGATTAATACAACTAAAGGGGAAAAATCTTGTTTGTTTTTATTTATCAGATGGATCTCAATAAGACTGAAGAGGTGATATTGGCATTGGAGAGCCTTCACCGGCAGCCCCATATTTGGGATTTTCTCCTTTTATTGCCCAGACTTTATGTGAATAGTGGTGGCATTGAAGATGGCATCCACGAAGCAGTGCACCTTCTTCAGGTGGTGTTGAAGTAAGTTAAAGAGAAAAATGTGATTAATTATCGGTTTGTTGACTTTTTCTCCCTCATTTCTTAATGGAAGAACATATCTCTGAGTAATTGATAGCAAAAAGAAAAAAAAATCCATCATGACGTCGCTCTGGGAGCTTGCATTCCTGTGTCTGTTATCTGTCTAAATAAATATTTTATATAAGTGCAATAATATTAAGAGCATTTGACTCATGATTGTTAACATTACATACTAACATTTCATATGTTCTAATGGTTTTAAATAATCATTTGTAAAGGCTGCAAAAAATTCCATTTTGTTAAATATAGCACAGCATAATTTTCTTAATAATTTACATTTGAGTTGTTTCAAATTTTTGTACTCTCAGAGGTGTGACATGAATATGACAATTTTAACTAATTTCTTGATAAATGGTCCCACAGTTGTCCAAAACATGTAGAACTGAAAAGTTCAGTTTTTTTTCAGTTGTATAATTCACTAGTCTTCCAGATGGTTCTGATTATCATATTATCTGGAGAACTTGAAGAAACCCTTTGACATGGTGCAGCTTCCCACTAGTTTAATAACAGGGTCCAATTGAATTATCTTGTGCAAACCTATTCTATGAATATGACATTTTATCAGTAAAGTTTATATTCTTTTCAGCTTTTTAACTGTCACTTATTTTATTTGCTGTCAGTGAGCAGTAACTTCCTCTTAGTGTCAGTAACTTCCTCTTAGGCCAGGGTATTAGGACCCTTTCCCATTCCTGCACCCCTCTGGGCTTTCATAAGTGGTACCTCTGCTTAAAGCTCAGGAAGCCCATGGAGTTAACTGGTGCGCCCACAAAGTCTCCTCGTCTCGTGCCCCCCTGCCCAATGACAGATCCTATATCTGGAACTGCCTGGGCCTCTTCCTGATCTCCCTGTCTGAGGCCAGCTCTCATCACTGTCATGTGCACCCCAAGGGGCGGGTGATCCAACAGCAGTGGGAGCTGTGTGTAAGAGGGTGGGACCAAGTGTGTGAACGGTGCCATTTGTGCCCACAAGGACCTTGTTGTCCAGATAGAGCTAGGTAGGAGTGTGGAAGATGGATGGACTGGGTGTTTCCAACCCTTCATATTCCAGTCCATATCTGTGAGATTCAGTAAATTCTTAACTTGAACTTGGCTGTTCAAGTTGTTAAAAAGGGCTATTTATTAATATAGGAAAACTGAACAAATTTTGACCGTTTGTTGGTTTCATTTATAATTTAAATATGTAGACACGGTTGGGGTACTTCCTTTTGCATTGTTGTCTTCTGCCCTAGAAATCCAGGATATTTTTAGCAGTGAGGACAGAAGGGCTATTTTTAGAGAAATGCATTTAGAAATTAGAAAATATTGATGATAGTTGCTTTATCATATCAGTATAAGCACACATTTTATTTGTATGTTTTGCTTCACTGACACAATATCAAGAAAATCTGTATTCACAGAGATATTTTTTCATGTGGCACTAGTTGAATTTGTTGATAGCCATCTTAGAGGCAAAATGCTATTCAGATAAGTGCTTTAATTAAGATGCTAAATGAAAAACATTTATTTCTGTTAACAAAAAATAGTAGTAGGCTTAAAATTGTTGTTAATATTTCTCCTATTCTTGGAATACTCTTCAATATACAAGGATGTCAGAGAGAGTCTCTTTAATGAGAAACTATAAGAAAACTTGTTAAAAGCACATTTGCATATTAATGACCTTGCTTTTCTAAAATTTAGACACATTCCCACTTAGAATGGGTTTTCTAATTTATAAATTTAAACATTATTATTTATAAAATAAGATATTAATATTTAAAGAAATCAATATTACATGCAAGTGAACTAAAAATCTCTTGTGTGAAATGGTTCAAAAATCACAAACTTAAGGCCTGACATGATTGATATCCATGGGGAAAGACAGAGTGCAGAAATGAGGTCCCTGGTACTTCAGGAGGATGTCCTCCAGATATTTAGCCAAGTATTTGATTTGAAGCAACCAGGCTGGTTGCTTATTAGCTTCTTGGGGACAAAAGCATTTGTACCTGAACAGCCTCTTGGCTGCCATGTGAGCATGAGGAACACACCAATGATAGAGTCAACTTAAGTTCTGTGTAAAAGTCAGAGCAAAAGGTGACTAAGGTATCCAAGTGTTTTACTAGAAGTGTTTAATTATTATTTTTAGTCCCTGAACCTCTTCAAACTCCATGGATTTAGAGACATGTTTAAAGCTGTGTTGAATGCTGTGACCCAGCATGTGGGAGAAGTAGAGCTGCAATGGTGCCATTTATTTTGCTAATGAGCAACTCACATGGCTTTGGTTTTGTTTTGGTTCCAGTTCTTTAACATCTCTGGAAGATTTAGATTGGTTGTCACTAAACCACACTTTTACCAACGCTTCTAAAATTGTGATAAATGCAACCATTTCGATGCTGACGTTTCTGCAGGAACATGGGATGACGGCCGCTAGTATGGGTAACTAAGAGCTTTATGATGTGTCAAAGGTTGCACTAGTTGAATTTGTTGATAGCCACCTTAGAGGCAAAATGCTATTCAGATGAGTGCTTTAATTAAGATGTTAGATGGGAAACATTTATTTCTGTTAACAAAAAATAGTAGTAGACTTAAAATTTGGAACTCAAAATTGAATTTGACACTTTACCATGGTTCAAATTCTGAAGTAATTGTTAGTAAAACTATTTTTAATTAAGAAATGCGACTTTCCTGGTGGCCTGGAGGTTTATTATGTCCCAGCGTTATAGCCACTATTGCCTGAGTTTGATCCTGACCCACAAAGCACAGCACTCCCACTGCTCCCCTCAGCAGTGTATTTCAGTACATCTGCCTGTTCTGCTCCCCATTCTTTCTCTAGTGATCCTTTCATCCCCTGCACCTCTGGCTTATACCCCAGTTCTTCTATGCATAAATAAGTAAGTAAATAAATAAGCATTACAAGTAAGAAATAACTGGTTTTAATTTTTTTGATTTGATGTTCTCTAAGCTTATACCTATCATTGGTTCTGTCATTTTAATCTTTCCTCTTTAATATTAGACATATTTGAAAAGCACTAAGGCCAGTGAGAGGATTAGGCTAAAGTGGATTTGTAAAGCTAACACACTGAATAGACAACCTTCTCACAAGAAGGGGTAGAATGAGATATTTGTGATCTTGAAACTAGGTATTACCTCTTTCTTTTTTCATTAAATATTCATTTTGTATATAAATTAATTTGTCTAATTTGTATGTTATTGTGTGTAATTTAAAATGCAAACCATGATTTGATATACCTCATGAAATGATTAAAACAATCAACACACCCAACACCTCACATAGTTCACTCTTTAGCTTTTTTGGTGATAATTCTTATACAATTCTTAGTGAATTCCATAGATAAACAATACACAATACAGTATGATTAACTGCAGTCACCCTAATGTACATTAACTCTTTAGAATGTATTCTATAACTATAAAACTTGTATACTTTAATCATCATCTCCCATTTCTCACACCTCCAGACCCTAGCAACCATAATTCTAGCAACAGTATTAATACTGTTCCCCCTTTTTCTCATATTTTTATTTATTTACTAATAATTTACATAACAATATATTACATCATCTATATATGGTGAATATATAATATATAATGTATACTAACATGTTATGTATTTATATAACTATATAACAGTATCACACCACCATATGTGAGTGTGTTTTACTCACCTTCTATGGAAGCTAATGGCGCTATCAACTTCTGTTTCCTCTCCCTGTCTCCCTCCCCAATATCTCCTCTGGAAATCAGTATATTATTCACATTGTCTAAGAATTGTTTTTGTTGTATTTTTTCAGTTTCTTTTCTTGGTTATTTATGTTTCAAAATGAGTGAAAACTAGAATTAAGGTGCAAATTCTACTTTGATATAGTTCAAATTGTTTATTTTTGTTTTGTTTTCCTCAGCACTGTATTCGTATCCCATAACATATCATTGTGGTCACTGTGTGTGTATCACCTATATTTTCATTACATTTTTTGTGTTTTCTTGTCTTTTTCTTTTGTTCAAGATCCTAATCCATTCTTAATTAGTCTTTGATTGTTTTTTATGGACTTAAGTATCTAATTTCATATGTATATATTATTTGTAGTGCTATACAAACTTCATAATTGATTGTTCTGTTTTCTTGAAAAATGTCATTACGATTTTGATAGATATTGCATTAGATCTGTAACTTGCTGTAGGTAATATGGTCATAAGAACAATGTTCATTCTTCCAATCCATGGACACTGGATGTCTTTCCATTTCTTAGTGTCTTATTCTGTTTCCTTACACAACATCTTATTGTTCAATTTGTAGACTTTCAACTTTGTTTAGTTTACTTTCAGGCATGTCTTCCTTTTTGTTGTGATACAAAATATGATTGTTTTATTTATTTTTTACATAATTCTTCATTTTGTGCTTTTTTTTTTTTAATTTCGGTTGTAATCCCTGTAGACTTCCTACCCCCAATTCACCTATGTGCCATCACCATAGTCCTGTGCATTTTCCCCACCTTAGCCATGTGCATTTTCCCCACCCATTTTGATACTATTCCCTCTCCATCCCTGTAAATATCACTGATTTATAGTTTTCAGTTTTTTTTTTAAGTTTTATTTATTCATACGGAACTGGGGTATAGGCCAGAGGTGCAGGGCAGTGACAGGATTCATCAGAGACAGTGCGAGGAGCAGAACAGGCAGATCGATGAAGTACTCTGTTGAGGAGAGCAGTGGGCGGGTCAGGAGAGTTCTGCCAGTTTTTTTTTTTTTTT